CTACTTTCAGACCTTCTCTCCCACCCCGAAGATGACTACTCTTCGGGTGCTGCTGCACGTTGCCGCTCAGCGCGACTACGAGCTTCACTCTCTCGACTTCAGCACTGCGTTCCTGCAGGGTAGCCTGCACGAGGAGATCTGGCTGCGCCGTCCGCCTGGCTTCACTGGGACTTTCCCTCCTGGCACCCAGTGGAGCCTCCGACGGCCAGTCTACGGTCTCCGCCAGGCACCGCGTGAGTGGCACGACACACTGAGGACTACGCTTGCGGCTCTTGGGTTTGCTCCTTCCACTGCTGACCCGTCGCTGTTTCTTCGGACCGACACTTCCTTGCCGCCGTTCTACATCCTCGTGTACGTCGACGACTTGGTCTTTGCCACAGCGGACACTGCTGGACTCGCCTACGTGAAGTCCGAGCTGCTGAAGAGACACACGTGCACAGACCTGGGTGAACTGCGCAGCTACCTTGGCTTGCAGATCACTCGGGACAGAGCACGCCGCACCATTACCCTGACTCAGTCACACATGGTGCAGCAGGTCCTTCAGCGCTTCGGCTTCACGTACTCCTCGCCTCAGGCCACTCCTCTGCCTACTCGCCACTCGCTCTCAGCTCTGCCTTCGGATGAGTCCGTAGAGTCGAGTGGCCCGTATGCAGAGCTTGTTGGCTGCCTCATGTACCTGATGACCTGCACACGACCTGACCTTGCATACCCTCTGAGCATCCTTGCACGCTATGTTGCTCCTGGGAGACACCGACCTGAGCACATGGCTGCAGCGAAGAGGGTATTGCGCTACCTGTGCAGTACGTCGGGCATGGGGCTAGTGCTTGGAGGGCGGAGTCCAGTGGTCCTTACGGGCCACGCGGACGCTTCTTGGGCTGACGACCAGGCTACGCAGCGGTCGTCACAGGGTTACACCTTCAGCCTTGGTTCCGGCTCTGTCTCGTGGCGGTCTACTCGCTCGTCTTCGGTTCTCGGCTCCAGTTGTGAGGCTGAGATCTACGCCGGGGCCATGGCTGCACAGGAGCTTCGCTGGCTCACCTACCTGCTGACTGACCTTGGAGAGCCGCCTCGTTCTCCTCCAGTGCTGTACGTAGACAACAAGGCCATGCTGGCCTTGTGTCGAGAGCAGCGTCTGGAGCACAGAACGAAGCACATTGCTCTCCGCTACTTCCTTGCTCGTGAGCTGCAGCAGCGCGGTCAGCTGCGACTTGCGTACGTGGCCTCTGAGGCCAACACTGCCGATGTGTTCACTAAGGCACTCGCGCCTTGTGACCATCAGCGCTTCTGTACCCAGCTGGGTCTTGTGCCTGTCTTGCCTCACTTGCTCTCTTCCTGACTTCACTTGTACTGTGATATATATATATCCCTGCTCTTGCTTGTCTAGTACTATATATATGTCTGTACTCCTGCATGTGAACTGGCCTCTGGCCCTGCTCTTGTGCTCGGACTGTGTGGTGACTTTGTGATCCACCCTGAGCTTGCTTTGCTTTGCTTGACTGGTCTTGTGACCCCTTGTTCTCCCCCACTTTGCCTATGGGGGTGTGTCAGAACATTATAGCTGATACATGTTTGTAGGCTATAGTGGGGTAGCACATATGGGGTACAGATTCCTAGGGTTTGTTATTTGTACCAATTTCTGACTTAGTCATTCTCATTCCTCTTCTCATTGTTTCACACGCTGGACCCGCGCGACGTCCTGCGGGACCCGCGCGCTGCCTCGCTGGACCCGCGCGACGCCCTGCGGGACCCGCGTGCCGCCCTCTGCTGGAACCGCGCAACGCCCTGCGGGGCCCGCGTGCTGCCCTGCTGGACCCGCGCGATGCCCTGCGAGAACCGTGCGCCGCCCCTGCTAGACCCGCGCGCTGCCCCGCTGGACCCGCGCGCCGCCCCTGGGGACCCGCGCGCCGCCCCTCCTGGACCCAGCAGCCCTCCCGCGCCCTGCACGTCGCGACGCCGCCCGCCCTCCCCCCTCCTCCTTCGACTTCCTGCTGCGCGTGCAGTCGTGTGGAGGGTATGGGGGTGGCGGGGTATGGGGGGGTATGGGGGTGGTGGGAGTGCGTGACCAGCTGCCCCTCCTCCTCCTCTCTCTCCCACTGTTGCAGCTGCCGCTAAGGGGGGGATAGAGTGGGTGAGGTTGGGGAGTGGCGTTAGCCGGGGGGGATGTGAGAAAAGGGTTTGGGGGCAATGGGGGGAGGTTGGAAGGAGGTAGCCGCTGTGTCGCCTACTGCTCCAGTAGTCCGGGGCCCTTGCTCCGGTAGCACGTGAGCCCGCTGCTCCAGTCCCCCGTGGGTCCGTTGCTCCAGCCGCTCGTCTAGCGGTGGAGCCAGTTGCTCCAGTAGTTCGGGGCCCTTGCTTCGGTAGCTAGTGTGCCAGTTGCTCCATTGCCCGTGTGTCAGCAGCTTCACCTGCCGCCTCCCAACTCTTCTCGTCTCGTAGTCCCTCCTCCGCCTCACTGCCCCTCTGCTATGTCTGCCACTAGGGTTAATTTGTGAACTTGCTCTATGAATGCTTGTTGTGCTGATTATACCCCACTTTGCCTATGGGGGTGTGTCAGAATGTTATATTGTCTAGTCTGCGGTGGGGTACTCAGTAATGAGTACAGCCGTGTTAGAGTTTCGTATTTGAATCCCCTCTGCCTGCTAGTGCAACCCCTCTTCTGCTGTTCCTATTCCTGTTCATTAGTTCTTGATACATTCCCTTATTAACCGAATTACATTGCTACAGTAACCACGTCTATTGCCATTCTTGACAGTTACCACGTTGCATCTCGTAACTGCCTCGTGCCGTTACTGGTCAGTCAAGGGTCAAGACCGTTGACTGTCTTCGACTCTTGACCTTCGGGTGACCCTCGACCTTCCGCGTGCTCTATATGAGCTATTGCGGTACTGATACAGGCGTTTACTTCGTTATGAAGTGACGCGACAGTGGAGAGCCTTCGGAAAAGCTTAAGGTAACCCTTCGGTTATTCCAACAACCTCTACGGTGGTACATCACCTTATTCGCTCCATCCTCCAAGAAAGGTGATTTCACTAAAACCTACAGCAACAGGGGGGTGTGTTGGAAAGCCGAATATAGTATTAACGGAGCTTCGGTAAAATCTACACCAAGGGGGAGTTTTAAGAAATATACAACATAAAGAAATATTTATGCTACCGGATTAGAATTTACCGTAGTCCTCTTTATAAGACCCCAGGGCCTAGAATGATTGTACAATTATTGTAGGGCCTGAATAATTAAAGTCTAGAGGTCTGGGGGTAGAATTCTTTCTTGATGGAGCTACCATTTTTGGTGCACCATTGGTGTGGATGGGGTGATTCTGAAGGGGGATTGCATAGGATAAATACCATGCTCTGTGTTGTGATTAATCCATTCCATTGCTCTCATTCTGCTTTCAAACATTTCAGTGCAAGCCTTTCGGCCTTACTCTTCCTACATTCTAGCTTCCGCAACGCTGGCATCATGTCTTTCTAGCACTCGGGACTACCGTCATCGCCCGGATATAAGACATATATGTCTTATCACATACCCTAAAAAAAATGCTTGTATTTGGGGAGGTTTTGGGTGGCTTATAAGTCTTATGAATGGAAATTTTTCTAAACTACTTCAAAATATTTTCACACATCTTGAAAATAGTTTCTCATTATGAGTGTGGATGTTGCGAAGGTGCCACTTCGGCAACCATTGTTCAGGGCGCCACGTCATGGAGAATACTTGCAGAGGCAAATTTGGTAGTACGTGAGTCGGCACGAGGCAGAATTCGCGTGTCGCAAGGGTAAAAATGTACGAGGTACTTCGATTTTCACTAAAATATATTGCAGTTTCGATTATAAGATACATGTCTTATCTCGTACACACAAATAGGTGTCTTAGGGCGTGTTCCTACGGCCCCTTATCAGGGCAACCTCTTATCAAGCTCGCTACTTTTCCCCCTGAAAATTCCCTAAACCCAAAAACTCTTGCTACTTTTACCAGCCAGGGCTGACAATGTTGGGAACAAATAGTTTAAGCGCCTCTGTCGTGTCAGAACTCAAGACACAAGCGAAGCAGCTCAAATCGAAGCATCGCGAGTCAACCCTCGGAAGTTAACGTAACCGCTGGAGGTTACGAGAAAGTCAAAGGTCAGCGACCCTTGACCTGACGCAGCGCGACAACAAGGACACACAACTGACTCGACATTGAGCAGTTGCCCGAGTCGCACTGTATCGAACCGCAACAGTAAAGTAGTCATAATGTCTCTTCATATTCTTCGTACTCATATATTTATTCCTGTATCTCTTTGCTTTAATCAACTTACTTTGCCCTCACATACTAGCGCAAGGTGGTTCAAGGACTTTATTCAACGCTTCCGCTATTACATCACTTACTCAGACTTTAACTCTACAAAGATCCTAGGGCTTTTCAGCCCAACAGACAAGAGGTTTGCCTGATAAGAGCGTAGGAACACGCCCTTATAATGAGGCTAGCCTGTTTATAAGAGACACCGGTAATAGACAACCCCTGTCTACTATTCAACACTGTCTTATATCCGGGTGATGACGGTAGTACATCAGCTCTAGTTTGCTTCATTTTTTCCCGTGTGGTCTGAAGAAGGCTACGGTATAAGCCGAAACTGGTTACCGCCAAACATGTCTCTACAAGAGATTTCAAGCAAACCTTTTAACTAACAACATCAATTACAGTTGAATCAGTGGCTGCCACGAAAAGACATGGCTCATATCTGGGGCTCCATTGAAAAATAAGTTCTGGTAAAAAATATATTCATATATTGTTAGGCTATAGCGGGGCTAGCCTTAGGGTTCTAGAATTTCCAACTTGTACTCCCATCCTGTTAGTTCATATCATACCATTCCCGTTTGGTACGTTATTAACAGTGGCAACACCCCACCCCCCCTCCCCCCCTTCTCCCCTCTTCCCCCTTTCCCCCCTCTTAACCCTCTCCGCTGTTGGGTTGGGAAGCCCCGCGCTTGCGTGCTAGGGGTGGAGGGAGAGGTGAGGGAGGGCTACCCCTTGGAGGGGGCGGCCATGTTCTGGTACACCCTCAGCTCGCCCGTGAAGCTGCCCGCCACGATTACCAGCCCCAGTGCCGACGCCCTCTCTGCCGTGCCCTCACCCCACTGCCACCCCCCTCCCTCGCCCCCTCCTCCCCCTGCCCCTCCTCCTGCCCCTCCCCCTGTGGCTGCGGCTCTGCCCTTGGGTGGTGTGGGTGCGGCAGCTGCTGCGGCGGCTGCCATCTGCTCTTTCCGTCTCGATGCTGCTGCTGCCGCTTCACCCGCTGCCTGTGCTGCTGCCTGTGCTGCAGCACCTGGTACAGTCTGCGTTGGCCCCTCTGTGCCTGCCACTGCTGCTGCCGCCGCTTCCAGCCCGTCGGCTGCACTGCTGCCGCCGCCCCCCAGCTCATCACTTGCCGCCCAGGAGGGGGAGAAAAGACGAAGAGGGCTTCGTGATGCCCCTGGGGCAGCAGAGTGCAGCGGGGGCTTGCTAGCGCCTGCTGCTGCTGCTGCGCCCCCATCTGCTGCTGCCACACTCCAACCTCCGTCCTGCACTGCCTGTCCCAAACCATTGCCAGGCGCAGCGCCTGCCCCGCCATCAGCGATGGCGGCCACAGCAGCTTCAAATCGCTCCCTCAACGCCTTGTCCGCCTCGCCCGACCCCCCCAGGTCCGTGGACGTGCTGTGCTGCCCTGCACTGCCGCCCACGCTGGCACTCGTGGTGGGGCGGCTGGGATTACTGTCCCCATGGCTGCCCCGGCTGCTCTGCTCCCAGTCCGCGCCCGCCAATGTTGGTGAGGGAGAAGGCGCCACTGCTGCTGCTGTGAGGGCAGCCGCACCCCCGTAGAACAGCCCCACTGTGCTGCCGCCACTGCTGCTGGCAGCGGCAGGTGCTGCAGCAGTGGCAGGGGAAGGAGCAGCACCTGGGCGTGTCGTGAGGGTGGCAGCAGGAGAGGCGGAGCTGGTCCCCCGGGGGATGAGACGTGGCTGGTCAGGCAACAGGCCGGGCAGAGAGGCGCTGGCAGCACCACCTGAGGTCAGCGACGACTGGCCCACTCGCCGCCTCTCCACCCCCAGCGGCCACACTGCCACTGCACTGCTCACGCTCGGGCACGCAAAATACTCGTATGCCTTCTGCCGGTCATTCGGCTGTCCGGTTTTGGCAAGGAGCCCAGGCGGGTTGAAGAGGAAGATGGTGCCGTCCTCACTGGGCGTCACGATGAAGTCACCGCCCACACTGACAGCCGCCGCCAGGTGCGAGGCGGTGTTCTTGTGGCCCTGCAGCTTGCACTTGAGCTGCGCGCCCTGGTACAGCTGCAGGCGCGAGTCCGCCGCCGACACCAGCACGTGGGCGGACGACCCCGGCACCGCCTGGATGCCCGTGATCTTCTTCGGAGGAAGCTTCTTGGCCTTTGCGCCGCGCAGATCCACTGACTCGTCCAGACTCAGCTCGCCGTCAGCTGCCGGGCAGAGCATGTATGGGGAGAAACGGGTCAAGGAGTTGAACGAGTGCATGCAGTGAGAGGGGTGAGAGGGGTTACGGAAACGCAAAATTCTGGCAATGAGGATGGACAGTTTGCATGAACGCCGTGGTCTCATGTGTTCTCTTGTGTGCAGCATGATGTGGTTACCAGAGATGGAGTAGAAGCGGCAATTGCCGATGGCTGTCCCCACTGCTATGCCCTGTGAGAGAGCACGGCACCGCCACACAGAACAACACACCAGGGAGAGAATGGTTAGAGCTCCACATTCACACTAGGGCACAAAACAGTGCATCCATACGAGAGCGTTACAAAGCCTTCACAGCACGCTCCTCTCTGAGCACACAAAGCCTTCACAGCACGCTCCTCTCTGAGCACACAAGGCTGTGGCAGCACGGGCGGGCGCACCTGGGCGTCAGGGGTGAAGGCACGCACCTGGGCGTCAGGGGTGAAGGCACGCACCTGGGCGTCAGGGGTGAAGGCACGCACCTGGGCGTCAGGGGTGAAGGCACGCACCTGGGCGTCAGGGGTGAAGGCTACGTTGCTAAATACGAGTACCGAGTATAATACGTTAGCGTATTATACACTTGGTATATACGCGGTACGCCAAGGCTGGCGTACTGCTGATACGCAAAAATACGCTGGCGGGCAGCTAAAACTTTTTTCCCGGGCAGGTATAGAAAAACCTGTTTCAGGGGGGGGGTTCAGGCCGACAACAACACATGTCAATATTTTATTTCATAAATATCCAGAAACACATAGTTCATCCACATAATCCCCACCCTCTAGCGAGCTTCCCCACAGCCTATTTCCTTGCGGGGCTTTTCCACCACCACCCCTTCCCCATACTCATCCGCCAGCACTGGATCATCTCCTTCCCCCCCCAGCAGGTCATCCTCCTCCTCCTCGTCCATGTTGTAGCCGCGGGGGATAGGGGCATCCGGGATGTTCCCGGGCACAACCGTGCTGGCCCCATCCTTGTTGTACCAATTGCGCACAACGTTCCAGTTGTGCGCAATGTAAACCAGGTCCGCACACTTGGTGGACCCGAGGCGGTTGCGGCGGGCGGTGTGGACGCCTTCCCACTGCGCCCAGCCACGTTCGCATGAAGAAGCCGAGATGGGCTGAGCGAGAATCCGGCATGCGAGGGTGGCAAGCTCAGGGTACTCGGTGCTGTGCCACGACCACCACTGCACCATGCTCATCTCCCCTTTCTTCACTGCCTCCCTTGCAGCTATGGCGCTCAGCTTGCCAAAACTGCCCTCCAAATTGATGTAGGCCAGCAATGCCTCCTGCAGCACAAGGGAGGCGCGGCGAGGGGCACCATCCTTGCCGAGCCTGAAGGTGACGTGGTCATAGTGGCGCTCGATGTAGTCCTTCAACACCCTCGTGCACTCCACATCGTTCCAGAAAATTCCCTCCTCCTGGTTGGCCGGATTCAGGATCCGGCCAACCACATGCATGGGGCAGGCAAGGGAGTTGTCCCACCTGTCCTTCACAATCTTGGTGATGTCTGCCCTCTCTGTCCGAGTCAAGAAGTCGCCTGAAGCGTCGAGCTTGTCATTGATGTCCTCGGTAAGCTGTAGCATAATGTCATACAGCTTACCCATCATGCCTTTCGCGGAAGAGTCCGTGGCCCGCATGGCCTTGAATGGCACCGCCATGAGAGATGAAAAGAACTCCGCCATCCCCCACCACTCCTCATCTATCACAGCAGCCCTGAATTTCTCGGCTGCAGTCTTCCTATCCTTGTCCCCCGCTGCCCACACCTTCCACTCGTCGCTGAGCACCATCGCCGCCGCCAGCCCACTACTCACCTCACATAGCCGGGCCATGGCTATGTATTGTGTCCCGAACCTGGTTCCCGCAGGCTTGAGCACCTGCTTCCCCCCCACTTTCTTCATATAGGCACGGGTGAAGTGGTGGTTGCGCACGAAGGTAATCATCTCCCCTCCTTTCTCCACAAGCCCCTTCGCCCATCCCATTTTGCCCACATCTTCCATTAACAGGTCCAGGACATGCGTGGCACATGGCACATGCTCAATGTCCGGCCATGTGCCCGCAATCTTCCGCGCTGCCGATGCATAGTTGCTGCCGCCATCGGTGCAGACCGCCACCACATTCTCCAGCCCCACCTTATCAATGACGGGGCGGAGAAGGCTGGCGATGTACCCCCCCGTCTTCGACTCCATGTTGCAGTCCACGGCCTGCTCGAAAACTGCGCCGGAGTCGTTGACAAGGAGTATGTTGGCCTGCGGGCGGCCACAACGGTCGGTCATCATGTCCAACGACACGGTGACACCGTCCCGCTTCCAGCTCGCGGCAGCGGGGGCGAGCGCTGCCTCCATTTTCTGCCGCACTTTCTTCAAGCCCGCCCCTCCAACGTAGCCCCTCTTGGGGGGAACATACCCCGGTCCCGCGCGCGCAAAGCATTGGACCGCGTAGCGGAAGACCGGATCATCCACGATGCGCTCTGGAAGCTTCAGCGCCGAGAACATTAGGCAAAGCGCGTTATCCGCATCCTCCTTGGCGCACGTTGCCTCGTCGCCGAAGAATTTTGTTATCTTCCCCTTCTTCTTCGCACAAGCAGTGACCGCGCCCAGCACGGAGTCGAGTGCTGCAGCAGCCGCCCCTCGTTTCATGCTCTTGTTTTCCTCCTTGTTTTCGTACATGGCACGCACTTCTTCACGGACTTTCAGGGACACGTCCTTGCAAAGCCTGACAGGGCGTTCATCTTGCCCTTTCCATTTGGCGAGGTGAACTGCGCAGCGAGTGGTTCCGCCCTCAAACTTGAAGCCACAAAACTTACAAAGCTTGGGATTGCCTTTGGTGTGGGGGGGAATAAGAAAATGTTTCAGAATGGGGTTCGAAAGGCCAGCCTCAACAGGCTGCGTGTTGATCGCACTACTAGACGCGTGACCATAAGCTACATTGCTCGTCGCGCTAGGAGGGGTGGAGTTAGACGCCATGGGGCGCGACTAAGGAATGGTAAACCGCTTGAGGAAAACGGGAGATCAGAGCTCGGTAATGAAATTGAGGAGGAGAGAAACGAATGAAGGATAGGAAGGCGTCAACGAGTAAATGCTCACATGACGTGCTGGACATTTGAGAGGGGTGGTTGGATATGAGAGGTTTGGTGGGGTGGTGTGTGGTTGGGGTGGTGGGAGGTTTGGATTCTGAAATTTGAATTTCATACGTGGGTTGGGCGATGTGCTTGGTCGCGTAACCAGTCGCGAAGCCCTAATAACCGTCGCAATTTTTTTTCAATTTCGATTTATTTTTTTCGCCGGGCTGCCTGCGCGTTTTTTCACGAATTCGAAGCCTATTAGCGTACCACGTACGTACGCAATCGTATATACTTGGTACGCCACCCTACCCAGAGCGTATTTGGCAACGTAGGGTGAAGGCACGCACCTGGGCGTCAGGGGTGAAGGCACGCACCTGGGCGTCAGGGGTGAAGGCACGCACCTGGGCGTCAGGGGTGAAGGCACGCACCTGGGCGTCAGGGGTGAAGGCACGCACCTGGGCGTCAGGGGTGAAGGCACGCACTTGGGCGTCAGGGGTGAAGGCACGCACCTGGGCATCAGGGGTGAAGGCACGCACCTGGGCGTCAGGGGTGAAGGCACGCACCTGGGCGTCAGGGGTGAAGGCACGCACCTGGGCGTCAGGGGTGAAGGCACGCACCTGGGCGTCAAGGGTGAAGGCACGCACCTGGGCGTCAGGGGTGAAGGCACGCACCTGGGCGTCAGGGGTGAAGGCACGCACCTGGGCGTCAGGGGTGAAGGCACGCACCTGGGCGTCAGGGGTGAAGGCACGCACCTGGGCGTCAGGGGTGAAGGCACGCACCTGGGCGTCAGGGGTGAAGGCACGCACCTGGGCGTCAGGGGTGAAGGCACGCACCTGGGCGTCAGGGGTGAAGGCACGCACCTGGGCGTCAGGGGTGAAGGCACACACCTGGGCGTCAGGGGTGAAGGCACGCACTTGGGCGTCAGGGGTGAAGGCACGCACCTGGGCGTCAGGGGTGAAGGCACGCACCTGGGCGTCAGGGGTGAAGGCACCCACCTGGGCGTCAGGGGTGAAGGCACGCACCTGGGCGTCAGGGGTGAAGGCACGCACCTGGCCATCAGGCATGAAGGCGGCGGCAGTGACCATCTCGCCCACGTCCACCCAGTCCAGCACGCCGCCCTGCGCTGCCGCCCACACGCGCACCCTCTCATCCAGCGCCCCCGTCAGAAACACATTCGCCTGCCGCGGGTGGAAAGCCACCGCCGTCACTGTGGGGCAGGGGGTGCAAATACGTGTCCTTGCACGAGCATGGAACTCAAAACAAGAGATACAAGAATGGGACAGTAACAGGCAGTTGCAATGCAAATTGCAAAAGCCCCCTATTCAGTTTGCACATGAAGCGGGCCCACGAATGCCAGCAGCTCGGCGCGATTTATGGGGGAACAGTGCACTTGCCTATGTCGGGGTGGGGGAAGACGCGCAGGCAGTGCGAGGAGCCGACATGCCACAAGCGCACCGTCCTGTCCGCTGATGCCGACACCAGCAGCGGGCGCTGCATTGGGAGGGGGGGGAGGAGACGGAGGGGCACACGTGCATGGGGACGGCGATGGGAGGTCTTTTATGCATGGATATGTGAAGAGTGTGTCAGGCAAGGAGGGAGAGAAAAGAGGATCACTGGGCAGGTGTTGAGGAGGGGCATGGGGAGGAGCATGGGAAAGGGCGTGGAGGAGGGGCGTGGGGAGGGGCGTGGGGAGGGGCGGCATGAGGGGCGGCATGAGAGGCGTGGGGAGGGGCGCACCCCGTTGGGCGCCCAGGCGAGGTCGAGCACGTCAGCAGAGTGGCCCGTGAAGCAGCACAGCGCCGCCTCCTGCAGCCGGAACAGCGCCACCGCCCGCCCCATGCTCGCCCCGCCACCCCCGCCTCCGCTGCCACTGCCACCCGCGCGGCCGCGTGGCGCTGCCTCTGGAGGTGCGTGGGAGGCGGCAGAGGAGGGGCGCAGCAGGGGGTGCATGGGGGAGGAGGGCACGGAGCGGAAGCCAGACGACAGCGACGCCGCGTGGGGGAGGGCAGGCGGGGCCATCTCCTCCGATGCGAATGCCGGCGTGCCATCGGACCGCTCCCGTGGGTACCCTCTCACCCGCACCTGCGTTTCCTCCCACCCCTTCACCGTCGCACCTCCTGTGCTCCCCCCCCCAACCTCCACCCCTCCACTGCCCCCTCCCCCACCCAGCCGCCCCCCACGCCGCTCCCACGTGCCCACCACCACCTCGTCCGCGGCGCCACTCCCCTCGCCCACCCCCCCTGGCGCCCCCTCCACCCGCCACACGCGCACGGCGCCGTCCTGCCCGCCCGTGGCGAGGTAGCGCCCGCAGCAGCTGAAGCGCGCCACCCACACAGCGCCGTCGTGCGCGCCGCGCACCTCCTGGCGCAGCCACAGGTCGGACAGCTGGCGGGCGGGCTTCCTCACAGCCGACACCTTCACCCTCACCGGCCCCACCGCAGGAGCGCCCAACGCCCCACCCCCCCCGCCTGCTGCTGCCCCTGCTGCTGCTGTCTTCGCCATGCCTGGCCCCGAGCCTGCTAGTCCGGATGAGGTTAGGCCCGAGCCTCCCAGAGGTCCGGCAGGTGGCTGGTCTGAGCGCTCCCCTGCCTGCACTGATGGCTCCCCCGGCCTCTCTCCCTCCCCCGACCATCCGCCCCCATCCCCGTTGCCCTCCCCCCCCACCGCTCCCCCTCCAACCCCCACACCGCCCTCTTTGTCCTCACCCTGCCCCCCCTTACTCTTGCCGCCATCCTTGCCCTTCCCGCTGCCACTGCCACTACCACTGCCATACCCAGCAGCACGGCGGATGGCCTTGAGCCACCCGCGCCCACGGCTCGACTTGGGCCGGCCCTGCCCGCCGCCCTCCCCCCCATCCTCCACGCCGCCCCGCTCCTCCTTGCTGCCCTCTCCACCCTCCTCCCCGTCCATCCCCTCCTCGCTTCCCCCCACCCCTGCACTGGCCTTGCTCTTACCCACCCTGCGCCCCCACCTGGACTTCTTCCCACTCTCCTCCGGTGACCCACTCTTGTCGCCACGCTGCCCCTCCCGCTCCCCCTCCCCGTCCCCTTTCCCCCCCACTTCCGCTTCTCTCTTCCCCCACGAAACCCCCTCCCTCTCTTCGTCTCCTTCCTCTTCCTCCTCGTCCTCCTCCTCCTCCTCTTCCTCATCCCCCTCCTCCTCCTCTCCCGCCTCCTCGATATCAGCGAACACCTCGCTGCGCGCCACATCGCCCTCATCATCATCATCTGTCAGCCCCAGGGTGTCCCGCCGAGCACTCACAAACCGCACCCCTTCACGGTACTCCGCGTCCGACCCCTCCTCACCACTCTCAACCGCACCCACCTCTCCGCCATCCCTCCCCTCCTTCTCCGCCTTCCCTTCCCTCTCACCGCCCTCCCTATCACTCCCCACGGTGCCTCTGTCCCGTGCACTGCTACTTGCTGCAGCACTCCCTTTCCCTTCCACTGCGCCCTCTGCTGGCCTCTCCTCGCCCTCGCCTGCACCCACCATGCCACCAGCTGCAGCGGCTGTGGGCGCCAGGGAGGTCTTCTTCTTGCGCCGCCGCTCCACCACCCTCTCCTCGCGCACCGCCTGCCGCACGGCCCTCAGAGCCAGCAGCGCTGCCACATTCTCCCCATCCGCCACGCCCTCAACCCCCGCACCGCCCACACTCCCCCCACCGGTGGACGCCCCCGCCTGCCCTCGCCCCCTCATTGCCTTCCCCCCAAAGCCCCACCGCACGCCCTCCGTGCCCATTGCCCCACCAGCGCCTTCCTCCCCCCCCCAGAGCAGCAGCGCTGGGTGCTCCACGAGGTATTCCTGGCCCGAGGCCGTGTCGCGCACGCGGATGGCACACGCCACCTCCAGCCGCCGCTCCTGCTCCTCCCCACCGCCCTCCCCCCCAACCTGAATGAACCCCACCACGCCCCACCCACCCTCTGCCCCCACCGCACCCGCGGCCCCTGACCCGGCAGCGCCCTCGCCCGCCCCCACGGCCACCTCAAGCCCATCCAGCCCGGCTTTCCTCCGCGCCACCGCCGCTCTCTGCGCCGCCGCTGCTGCTGCCAGTGCTGCTGCCTGCGCCTCCGCTGCTGCTGCCTCGCGCGCCCACTCGCGCTCCCGTGCCTCGCGCTGCTGCACCAGCCCCACGCCCCCCAGCAGCACGCCCCACGACCCCGCCCCCTCCCCCTCTCTGCCCCCGCCCCTCGATACACTCACATCCTCCGCCACGTCCGCCAGCCCCCCCACGCCCCTGCTGCGCGCGCCCTCATCGCCGCCCCCCGGGCTGCCCAGCCCTGCCGGCCCATCCGCCCCCACCGCTGTGGTGACGCGGCGCCGAAGGCGGGCAGAGCGAGGAGTGACGGAGGCCCTTACGTGGGGCGACACGGAGCGAGGCAGCTGCACCTGCATGCCCACCGCCACCCTCATGCCCCTCCCCGCCCCCCCCTCCGCCTTGCACACCCCCCTGCGCGCCCCCCTGCTGCCACTGCTGAAACGTCGGCCTTCCGCCCCTCGCTGCTGCCTGCCCTTCCTCCACCCCGCTAGGAGCATCCTCATTATTGTGCGCTGAAAGCCCTTCAACAGCACTGCCACCAGCAGCGCCAGCAGCAGCAGCAGAGGGCGTGAGTTCAGGTGCCCCGTCCACTCCCTCTTGCCCCTCGCCCCGGCCCTCGTCTGTCTTCTCCGCCTCCGCCCTCCCCCCGTCCTCCGCCATCCACTCCGGCGCCACGCGCGCGCCTCCCCCCAACCCCACGAGGCGCGCGACGGTGCGCGCGAACTGCAGCAGCCCGGGCGGCACGCCACGCGCGCCTGCTGCTGTGAATGGCGCAGCCGCGCCGCCCGCAACGGCGCTAGTAGCGGGGTCGGGGGAGTGAGGGGACGGAGGCACGGCGCTGCTGGCCCCGTGTGCTGCTCCCGCGACTGCTGCTGCCCCGCCAGCACTCGCTTGTGCGTCCGCCTCTGCTCGCCGCTCCACCTCTTGCGCCTGCCGCACAATGACACGCAGAGATGCAAGGCACGACGCGGACAATGCTTGGGACGGACGGGTAGGAAGAGCGCGTGGCGAAAAGACAAGTCGCAACTATCTGACCTGCTCGGACCTTCCCCGATCCCCTGCCACCGCGCATGCACCCGCGCGTTAGTCACCTTCTCGCACGCCACGCGCAGCTGGTGCCACATGCGCGCGCGCCGCTCCGCCACGGTATTAATCTCGAGCGGCTCGGTCCAAGGGTTGGGGTGGGCGCCCTCGTCCGCCGCCACGAGCTCGAGCACGGGCAGCGCCAGCTGCGCCGCCGGGGGCAGCGCGGACACCGGGTGCGCGCCGTCGTCGTCGGGGTCGCGCGCGTACGCGGGCTGCGCGAGCTCGGTGAACACCGCGGGACCCATCGGCACGTTCTTTCTGAATACGAGTGGCTAATAATAATAGGGTAAAGCCGCGTGAAGCTAGTAAACGGTAGAATGTCAGGTGCGTATTTCACAAGAAAAAAGAGAACAATGGGAAATCGGAAATAATGACTTCCAGAAATGTGATGTAGGAACAGATCGTCCGAAATATAAACAACACGATCCACAGCAGACGCGAAAGAGGTGAAGCTGACATATGAAAGGGGTGGGTCGTCGCCAGCGTAGTTTACGGGAGGGTCGTCACGACTCATGTCATGAACTGACCTGAACCGACGCTCACCTCGTTCGGTTTTTTCACGATCGATCCTGCGCATGATCTAATGTTTACGGAGTTGAAAAAGGGTTCTTAGTATTTCCAGTGTAACAAGTGGGTTTGTACGGGTTCTATAATATCGATCGTGCAAAATCGGTAGAGGTAAGGACGTGGTGAAAGTGCAAATATTGCAGGATCGTCTGCATAAATCGAGCCCCACAATCGAGTGGGCAGATAGATTGGCGAAACGTGGCGACCTCGACGTTGTAACGATCGCAACTGAAAATTGACAGATCTCCCGCGATCAGTGATCAGTCGCATTCACACACCGTACATAAATCTTGGCCAAAAAGCGTTTTGTTGTCAAACTCATTTACTGCTTATTGTGTAGGTTATAGTGGGGTAGCCCATATGGGGTACAACCCAATTAGGGTTTCCTACTTGTACCCATCTTGGTGCTAGTTCATCCATTCCTGCTTGTTAGTTTCAGACATGGTATCAGAGCAGTAGGTCTGTAGGACCGGTTTTTCCGGGACCACCATTACCTAGTGACCGTTTGCGGTTACTGCGTTACCCCACGCCCTGCCCTGCGCTTCGCCGTCAGCCTGAGGTCTGCCCTGCCCTTCCTTGCGTCGCGCTGCCCCGCGCACGCCCTGTCCCTCCCTGCGTCGCGCTGCCCCGTGCACGCCCTGCCCTGTGAGAATAAGCGAACAGGAATGGATCAACTAGAAGTGAAAAGAGTACAAGTAGTAAACCCTAGAATTGTGTACCCCCTATAGGCTAACCCACTGTAGCCTACACAAGTATAACATATATAATGTTTGACACACCCCCATAGGCAAAGTGGGGGAGAACAAGGGGTCACAAGACCAGTCAAGCAAAGCAAAGCAAGCTCAGGGTGGATCACAAAGTCACCACACAGTCCGAGCACAAGAGCAGGGCCAGAGGCCAGTTCACATGCAGGAGTACAGACATATATATAAAACTAGACAAGCAAGAGCAGGTATATATATATGTCACAGTACAAGTAAAGTCAAGAGGAGAGCAAGTGAGGCAAGACAGACACAAGACCCAACTGGGTGCAAAAGCGCTGATGATCACAAGGCGCGAGTGCCTTGGTGAACACATCAGCAGTGTTGGCCTCAGAGGCCACGTACGCAAGTCGCAACTGACCACGCTGCTGCAGCTCACGAGCAAGGAAGTAGCGGAGAGCAATGTGCTTCGTTCTGTGCTCCAAGCGCTGCTCTCGACACAAGGCCAGCATGGCCTTGTTGTCTACGTACAGCACTGGAGGAGAACGAGGCGGCTCTCCAAGGTCAGTCAGTAGGTAGGTGAGCCAACGAAGCTCCTGTGCAGCCATGGCCCCGGCGTAGATCTCAGCCTCACAACTGGAGCCGAGAACCGAAGACGAGCGAGTAGACCGCCACGAGACAGAGCTGGAACCAAGGCTGAAGGTGTAACCCTGTGACGACCGCTGCGTAGCCTGGTCGTCAGCCCAAGAAGCGTCCGCGTGGCCGGTAAGGACCACTGGACTCCGCCCTCCAAGCACAAGCCCCATGCCCGACGTACTGCACAGGTAGCGCAATACCCTCTTCGCTGCAGCCATGTGCTCTGGTCTGTGTCTCCCAGGAGCAACATAGCGTGCAAGAATGCTCAGAGGATATGCAAGGTCGGGTCGTGTGCAGGTCATCAGGTACATGAGGCAGCCAACAAGCTCCGCATACGGACCACTCGACTCTACGGACTCATCCGAAGGCAGAGCTGAGAGTGAGTGGCGAGTAGGCAGAGGAGTGGCCTGAGGCGAGGAGTACGTGAAGCCGAAGCGCTGAAGGACCTGCTGCACCATGTGTGACTGAGTCAAGGTAATGGTGCGGCGTGCTCTGTCCCGAGTGATCTGCAAGCCAAGGTAGCTGCGCAGTTCACCCAGGTCTGTGCACGTGTGTCTCTTCAGCAGTTCGGACTTCACGTAGGCGAGTCCAGCAATGTCCGCTGTGGCAAAGACCAAGTCGTCGACGTACACGAGGATGTAGAACGGCGGCAGTGAAGTGTCGGTGCGCAGAAACAGCGACGGGTCAGCAGTAGAAGGAGCAAACCCAAGAGCCGCAAGCGTAGTCCTCAGTGTGTCGTGCCACTCACGCGGTGCCTGGCGGAGACCGTAGACTGGCCGTCGGAGGCTCCACTGGGTGCCAGGAGGGAAAGTCCCAGTGAAGCCAGGTGGACGGCGCAGCCAGATCTCCTCGTGCAGGCTACCCTGCAGGAACGCAGTGCTGAAGTCGAGAGAGTGAAGCTCGTAGTCGCGCTGAGCGGCTTTGTGCAGCAGCACCCGAAGAGTGGTCATCTTCGGGGTGGGAGAGAAGGTCTGAAAGTAGTCAACTCCCTGCCGCTGACTGAAGCCACGAGCAACGTACCGCGCCTTGAAGACACGTGGAGAGCCCGGCGGCCGCTTCACCCGGAAGATCCACATGCCACTGACGATGTTCGCCCCAGGAGGGGGAACCGCGTCAACGTAGGTGCCTGTGGACTTCCAGGAAGCCATCTCTGCATCCATAGCTGCCTGCCACTGAGAGGAGTAGGGACCCTCTACGGCCTCCGCGTAAGAACGCGGAGTCGGGATGTCTAGTGCATCCGGGTCTCCCTCAGGGGCAAGCAGTACAGACGCGAGATGAGGTGAAGCAGCCGCTAGACACTGTAACTCCTCCTGTCTGTCCTCTAGGACGTCCGTGCCAAGAGCACACTCACCCCCGACGGACGGAGGACAGACAGACGCAGACTCAGCAACAAGACCAGCAGCGTAGTCGAGACGACAGCGAGCAGCAAAGTCAACGAGCTCAATGACTAGAGCAGACGCAGCAGTGGACTCAAAAGAGGGGTCAGTGACGACAGTAGCAAGCAGACGCGTGACAGTAGGACTGGCAGCGCGAAGAGAGTCCGACTCAGGGTCGGCAAGCGCAGGAAGAGAGGACTCAGGAGGAGAAGGCAAAGGGGCACGCAGAGGAGCACTGGACGGACGCAGAGACATCCGGTGCGTGCCAGGGACAGGAGGAGGACGCTGACGCGAACCGCGACCACTAGCGCGAGCAGCACGAACAGGCGACGCGGGACGAGACGCAGGCTCACGACGCTCAGCAAGACCTCCAGTAGGACCAGTGTAAGGAGAGGGAGCAGGCAGAGAAGAGGAAGGCTCCAACAGTGACTGCGACTGGACAGGCTGTGGACACTCTACCGAAGGAGAAAGACCAAGAACCTGCTGTAGGAGCGGAACGAAGTACGGCCGAGGCCGCGCGGCAGCTCCAGACTCAGCAGGGACAGCACCAGCACCCTCAGCGACAGCACCAGCGCCACCCACACCTCCAGCGGCAGGACCAACAGCAGTAGGCTCAGCACGAACGCCCTCAGCACCTCCAGCTCTAGGAGGACCCGCAGGTCCAGCAGCTCCGGGACCGGCAGCACCCGCACCCTCGACGGTCGAAGAAGCTCCAGCTCCAGCTCCAGCAGCACCTCCAGACTCAGCAGCACGCCTCCAGCGGCGAGCGTACCACTCGCGCAGCTCCTGTGGAGAGAGGGGCTCCCGGCGAGACGCAGCAGCAGGAGAAACCCAAGGCTCAGCAGCTCCAGACCCAGCACCCCCAGACCCATCACCTCCAGGAACAGCACCCCCCGGCTCAGTACCCCCAGGCTCCGCACCCTCCGCAGTAGCACCCGCAGGCCCAGTACCCCCAGCAGTAGCACCCCTAGGCTCAGCACCCCCGCGCACAGCACCCCCAGAGTCAGCACCCCCAGGCTCAGCACCCGCAGCAGCACCAGAGTCACCTGTAACCTCGACCGGGTCAACGGCGTCTACCTGGGACACACCTGAGGGGGCAGGAACCTGAGGGGGGAGGGGGTCTACCGGGGGGGGAACCGGTACAAGGAAGTCCGGGGGAGGGGGGAGGGAAGGAGTGCGGTAGGGGAAGAGACGGTAGAAGGGGACTGACTCGTCGAACGTGACGTCCTGGGAGGACAGAACACGACGAGAGGAGGGGTGGTAAAACTGCCACCCTGGGGCGTCAGTGGGGAAGCCAAGGAAGACACAGGGAGCAGCACGAGGGGACAGCTTGTCCGCAGACAAGTCGTGGACAAACGCCCGAGATCCCCAGACACGGAACACAGACGCATCGCCAACCTTCCCTGTCCACAGCAAGGCTGGGGACATCGCAGGCCGAGAGACCCGGGGGTGAAGGTTGAGCTGATGCGCCGCGTACCTCACCGCAAACGGCCACAGAAAATGGGGGGCAGCCGCATGCATCATGGACGTACGAGCGACATCCATGACCATGCCAATGCGGCGCTCAGCAATCCCATTTTGCTGTGGTGAGTCCGGAAGCGTGAAGGACTGGCGGATGCCTCGCGCACGACAGTAGGCACGCAGAAGGCCAGAGGAGAACTCTCCGCCTCTGTCCGAGTGCAGACGCAGAACAGGAAAGTCCGAGCCGAAGCTCTTCCTGAGCTGGAGACGAGCCTCGCGGATCCAGTCGATCAGCACCTCAGTGACCTCACCCTTGCTGCGCAAGGGGAGGACTGTGGTGTAACGCGAGTAGTCGTCAACCACCAACAGGAAGTAGCGCTCGTAACCCTGCCCACGGACGGGGGCTGGGCCCCACACATCCATGTGAAGCGTCTGCAGGGGAGCCTCTGTCGGGGGGAAGTGGGAGGAGTGAGGAGTAGCCCGGAGGCGACCCTCGACACAGGG